GAACCAAGGTGATTGATGATATAGCCTCTATGAATCAGTGTGATCTTTTCTTTGTGTTCTTTTCCTTCCAGGGTTTCTTAATCTTCCCACCTTATCTAAAATCATAACACCAGCTCCTCACTTGCCCATTTCCCTGCTTTATTTCTTTTCATAGCACTTACCACCATTTGTCATGGCCTGTATCTATTTACAAATTAATTACTTGTGGTGGGAAACAAACTCTGTAAGAACAAGAATTTCTTATTTTAGATGTAAACTTCCCTTAATGGAAATTATCAGTTCTTTTGTATTTTTCAAAACAAATGTTGAGATATTTTTGGGAATAAAATACTGTGAATTTCATTTATTCCAAAAGAAAGTACATTTAAAGAGGGTATGCACATGTGTGTTTTTAATAAATGACATGAAACTTACTCTGTCATGTATATTATAAACATAGTTAAAAATTCCACTTCCTGGATCTGTGAGATTTTAAAGTACAGCACATTTTACTTGAATGGAGATTTTTATTCCAGAAAGGTATCAAACATGACAATCTGACAGTCTGTCATTGGGATGCTGTCACTGCTTTTCTCAGATCAACTGACAAGACCTCAGCTGGGCCTCTACAAATTGCTTAAGAACACTTCTAGTATATGTGCTGACGAAGCGAGCATGACTTAAGAACACTTCTAGAACCATCTAATGGGTATGTTCCAACTGTCACTTGGCAAAAAAAAAAAAAAAAAAAAGATCACTAAAGATCAATCTCTACAGCGGTCTTCTGGCAGAAAACCAGTCATATCATTCTCTCCAATTGAGCCTTTGTGGGGAAAAAGGCTTTATCAAATTCCTTGGACATGAAGTTACTGTTGGAACTATTCTCAAACCATGCTATGTACCGCCATGCAAGGAAGTTCAGCTTTAAAAGGTCAGGAGTGGCCTTCTAATGATTTAGATCATCTCATGATTGTTAGGAAGTGAAGAGGGTTATAATACCATAAAAGCTTTGGGTCTTATATGCCCTTTTGTGAGAAGAATCTGTGTGCCGTTAACTAAACCACAACTTCCTGATGTAATTATTAAACTGACCAAAACTGAGAGACAAACACAACACTCACCCTTCCCTGGACTTAGATTCAAAGTGTAGAACTGGGTCATTGAGATTGTGGGTATAGAAGAGAAAATGGAGTGTGTAAAAGGCCAGGTGGAAACAATACATTTATTTCCTATGAACAAATATCTATGCTTGGCTAATAGTTAATGTCAAAAAATTTAGTATTATAAAATTCAGCTTTATATTTTAATCTTGGATTTATTTTTCTTCGTTGACCAAATAGAAGAATATAGGTTTTCAAGTAAAAATATACTAGTATATTTAATGTGAATTTAAATATTTAAATAAAAATATTTAAATATACTAAAATATATTAAATGTGAATCCTGTAGAGGAACTGTAAGTGAACCTCAAAGCTAAAAATGTGACATTTTTAATGCCCACTTTTCCTAAAGTGGCTATACTAAGCTTAATGAAATCAAAATAAAACATATGCTATGATAATAAAATTAGGCTTTACTCATAAATATTATATTATAGCATATATCTTAATTCATTTATAGATCCATAAAATAAGAGGACTTATCTAGACCTTCAAAAAGCTTTTAACTAGGGGTGCCTGAGTGGCTCAGTTGGTTAAGCATCCAACTCTTGATTTCGGCTCAGGTCATGATCTCAGGGTCCTGGGCTCCATGCTCAGCAGGGAGTCTGCTTGATATTCTCTCTCTCTGTCCCTCTACTCCTCCCCCAACTGGTGCGTGCATACCCTCTCTCTTTTTTTCTCTCTCTCGCTCAAAAGATCTTTTTTAAAAAGCTTTTAACTATATTTTTAAATTTTATTTTAATAAATGTTAAGGATAATTCTCTAATGTTCATTATAAAGATCATTCTTATTTTATGTTAGAGGTGTATAGTGTAGACATTATAAAGTTGGTATCTCCTAAGTACTCTGTAGAAATGCCAAGGTCTAATTTTGCTCCTCTTCTTCAAATGCATTGAATAACTTGCTCTCTTTGTAGAATATACGCGTGCTGTGACCTCTTATTTTGATGGAAGAACTAGAGCCTTTAGCAATGAAAGCTTAAACACATTTATACAATATTTTAAATTCCCTTGGTTGTTTAAACTGCATTTTTTTCAAACAGGAGATCTTTTTAAGTGTTTTTGGTAGCATCTTAATAAGAAATAGTCTCTCCAGTAGAAGAGAAGGAGAGCAGAGAGCAAGAAGAGTTTCTAATTAATGTTATATTAAAAATAGCAGCTTGACATTTAATTCTTTGTCCTTCTCCAACTGTCTACAAAATCTTGCCTTCTACATTATGGTAATTTGTCTTAAATTGGCAGTCACTTGTACTGTGTATGTCACTTTGAAACTTGTAGACATGCTTATTTACCATAATTACCTGATTTTAGAGATATTACAAAGCCAAAATTCTAGTCCCTAGTCAAGCATATTTGAGAACATAAAATACATACTGGGTAGAAGTGTGTATTTCAGTTTTTAACCATATTTGCTTATATACAACATAATTGTGCCCACCCACTATGGTGTGTACATGTGTGTGTGTGTATTTATATATCTATAAAATAAGAGGGCTGAACTGTAGTCATATGGCTTCGTGTAGAAAAATGTAGAACCACTTTATACTTGACTGATGACTGAAATTTCAAAGAACATATTTCTTGGTAATTCATTCTGTGACTTTATTTCTCTTAAATATGGTTGGATTAAGTTGCTCAAACTTCGGCACACAAAAGAATTTTGTCTCAGCATTCCTTCTTCGTGATTTAAGCTGTATTGTAAACTTGGAGTAATAAAATCCAGCAAATACATCTTATTACTAAATAATGCTTTGTCTTCCTAGAGTCAATAGCTACTTTAGCTAGATTTACTGTAAACTCTCAAGTAATTTCAATCTCTCATTTTGGAAACATTTTTTATCTAATTTTTTTTCTTATATCTGATGTAACTTCTAAAGTTATGACACTTATCCTTTGACATTCTGCAAGGGAACATGAATTAATCATTGAGTTTGTCCTGCAAGGGGAGAGGTCTCTTACTGATACCGTGAGCTTCCACTGTGGCACACACAAGCTGCTTCTGCGATTCCAGCACAAGAAAACATCCCCACCACTAATTCATTCCTGCTTGCTCGGTCCCCAGTCTCTTAAAATTCTAGGTCCTAATAGAACAGAGGTGGATTCTATGTGTATGTAATGTTGATTCTGTTCTTGCACTTTCTGAAAATATAGAGGTTACTGTTAACATCAAAACAAACTGGGCCACGGGCTATTGTCTTTTGGAAGCATTTACAAGAAATGGTTTAATAAGCCCTTATTATTGTTACCAAAATTGCATTTTATTAATTAAGAATCACGTGATTGTATATTTAAGACAAAAGAAGTCTAGCCAGAAAGCAAAGGAGAATGATTTCATTACTACTTATAATAGTACAGATCAGTTCAGAGAAGGAAAGCATTTGTTCAAGAGCAATGGTAGATTTTCTCTGAAGGCTGCCCAGAAAACAGATTTTATGTGAAGGACGACTGGGTGGCTTCCCTCATATCCTGCTAGTAGTGGTACTGACTGGTGTGTCAACTTCATGGCTCACGTGCTTTTTCCCTTGATTGTTTTTCCTGCTTTCTCCCCTTGATTTGTAAGCAGCGTAAGAAGAGAAGCCTGTTATCTAATTCTTCAGTATCTCCCTTCACCAAGGAAGGGAGTTTCGAATGAAGTCGATGCAAAAATATTGACGACATAGGTCATTTATTCAGGCAGGACTATGAATCTGCATCAAGAAGATGGGACTTACCAAGAGCGGAATACAGGATTCCATTCTCCCTACTTTCAATTCTGGAAGTTACAGAGAATTAAATAATATAATGCTGGGGGATGAGTAGGGGTAGGAGGCACGGAGGACGCTTAGTCCTGCCATGACCTAGCTGTGCAGCCTTGATTTGCTTTGTAAAGTGAGGGTGTTGGACCAGTTGGTTTTTAAATTGCCCTCTAGTTCTAAGACCAATTCTCTTCTAATGAAGGGCACCACAATTTCCTTACAGCAATTTCCTATGCCAGGTAATAGCTCTCTGAAATGTCTAAAATGTAGGACTTGATTTTACTCCATGCTGAAATGTGATCATATCCACAAAATGGACTGTAATCTTAGTGTATATATATATATATATATACTATATAGTGTATGTATATTATTAGTACCTATATATATATATACACACACTCACATGATCATTTATGTGAGTGTATATGTATTATTTTTTAAAGATTTATTTTATTTATTTGAGGGAGAGAGAGAGACGGAGCACAAGAAGGAGGAGGGGCAGAAGGAGATAGAGAGAGAATCTCAAGCAGACTCTCCCTGCTGAGAACAGAGCATGATGGGATGGGGCAGGGGGTGGGTGTGCTGAGGGTGGGGGGCACTGGATCCATGACCCTGAGATCACGATCTGAGCCAAAATCAAGCATTGGACGTTTAACCAACTGAGCCACCCAGGTGCCCCAGTACCTATATTTTTAATGACCAAAAAAATATGTTATTAAATCTGAAAGCCTGTAATTTTTTTGGTTGTTTTATAGTTGTTGTCTTTATTCATTTTAGCAATATGGTGTAATTTTACTTTTCCCTTGTCACCTTTACCAACTGTCAGTAGTAAAATTACTAAAGTGGCTAATAGTTGTGAACAAGTCTTAATCACTACATCCATGTTCTAGAGATGGCAAAAATGCTCAATCCACACATAATGTTTTTAGTCTAATGTTTGTGTGCCCTGTATCACCTTCAGCATTGCTAGACTTGTGTATGTTGTGGATGGAACAGCATCTTGCCACAGTAAATAGACCGCCCCCCAGCAAAGAGACCACTGACCCTCAGTGTTGGTAATAATGTTAAAACAAGCCTACTGTTCTATTGCTTTCTATCTCATCTATTTTCCATTTCTTTTTTAGGGTATCCTTGAAGATTAATCAGAGACCTTTCCACGCACCTATAAAGGTAAGAAAAAGAACCCTTCTGGTGATAAAATATGTTGTATTTGTTTTAGCTTTGTTTCAATAATGTATTCATTGAGTCAGACATAGCTAGAACTGATGTTGCTTATTCTGAATAACTGAAAAGTTTGTTACATCTGCTTATTCACTAAACTTGATACCATCCAACACATAGTATTTAATCATAAGTTTGGATTTTTCTTCCATACTATTATATACTACTAGAGTTTATTAGATATTATTATAGTTTATGTTTTACAGTAGACAGAATTTACTTTCTTTTACATTTTTATATTACTCTCTCCATAATTTTAGGGTGGTTTGACATACCATACACAATTTCCATATATCAAGAAGGCAATTTTTAAATATTTACATTTATGTGTGTTAATATATATAATATATTATTAGAAACTGAGATTCTCTTGTCTACCCTAATTTCACATTTTGCTTGGTATTTTAAACCTGTAATTTTTAAAGAAACAACCAAAGGAAGCATAAGTATAATTAGCCCTCAGTGACTTAGTAATATAAGTATTAATTTGGAAGAATTTACTTCATTATTTGCTTTACTTAATAAGAGTGTCAGAAAATGTGGCCCCTTTCTTGGCTAAGACCTATGTGAAGATAAATTTAGAATTTCTCCTCTAGTAAATACTTCTCTGATAATAGTTTAATTGTAGCTATTTCAAACCAAATTGTTTAATTGTGGTGAATCATATGCAAATTGTTCAGATGTAGGTCAACCTCCCACTCCCACATTCTAGCACCTCTTTTCTAAATTCAGGACAAATTGCTCAATGCCTAAAAGAGACAGAACAGTGCAGATTAAAGACATAAGACAAAAACCAAAACAACAATAACATAAAAACCAACAGTGGGCCAGGAGCCAGAAAGTTCTCCTAAAAATGGCAAGGCAGGTTGCATTTATTTATACCTTAGTTAACGATCTCTTATGCCTGCCGTGGGTTTGTACACAGTAGTTTGCTCACTGCTCATGAGATTTGTGGCTGGCAAAGCTTGGTGCCTCTAGGATACCAAGTTTCCTTATCTGTAAATACATTCATTAATATCTTTCCTGTCCACTTATTGAACTGAAATGAGGATCCAGTAGGACAAGGAATGTAAAATAAGTGTGTGCCTGCTCTAATCCCACATGGAAAGAGCATGTTATTTTTGGTGGTCTGGTTGAGTGAAGAGTGCCAGTCTCACTGATGGGAAAGAATATCTTGTGTAGTTCTGGGTGAGACCAACTGAGATATCCTGCAGTTGTAGTAGCTAAAGAAATTCTTTATTCTTCCAGCTGTTATATTATGTTCTAATCTATGGTTGCCTTTGTGATGGAGCATTGTATCATTTTCTGTAAATGGTCCAGGTTTTATGATTCTATTGAATTTTCATGTGTTGTCTACTGTACGTTCAAAGAAAAAAATGATTTCCAGTTACTAAAGCATTGAAAAGTTATAAAGCAGATTCATGAGTTTGTTACATTTGTTGTTTTTTATCTTTAGGCAATTATTGCAAGTGTTTTGATATATTGACAGAAAATAGTGAGCCTTGCTGGTTATTGATGAAAAACTATTTTGCTTTAATTCTAACAAAATTAGAATTCTGCCTTAATATAAAAATAATTTTTAGAATTATCATTCTTCACTGGAATTGACTGTTCAATAATTTGAATTTATATTTTATGTAATATATAATTTTAAATATTTTCTGTAGGTTATTCTGAATTAAATTATTCATTCATGAAATTATTGAAGAATTATTGAATTAAATTAACTGAGTAAAAAAGTGGCAGCAATTTTTCTAATTTATAAAATGGGGAAATGGGTGGTGTATACCTTGTATTTCTTTCAATATAAATATTTTTATTTGAATTATTTAAAATTTAAAAAATTAAGAATTATACTAAATAGAAAATGCTATTTCCCTCAAAGTTAGCTAGTGCTAAAAGTTTTGGTGGAGCATTGTATCCACCAAATTCTTTCCTTATATGGATAACATTCTTCTTCATATATATAAATATCAATATCAATATGTGCACATAGTGCTTTTGATACAGAGAGGCTGGGTCTGAGGACCCAGAGAGGCATCATCCCACAGGACCAATCAAGAGGGTCCTTGGCTGCACACAGGATAAAAATCAGATGTGAGCCAGAGAAGTAGAAACAGAGCTTATTGAACAGTGTTGAGTGACCGGTAGAGAATAGTAGATGGAGTGTCTAGGAGACTCAGAAAGGAAAGCAGTAAGTCTTATCATTGCTTGGGACTAGGGGTTTCTACTAGAAAAAGGTCTAGGGTATGTGTTCCTCCAAGAATGCAGGGTTGGTCCAATCAAAGGAAGTCACAGGTGAACAATGGGTGTTATTCCATAAATGACCGAAGGTAGGGATATTGATGCCATCATCAGCCGAGGTTTGTTGGAAGCTAATATCCTGGAACATGTTTGGGATCTGGCTCTTGTTAGGTGTTGTCAGGGGTTTGGGGCCTAAGACAAAAACTCAGGGGATGATTAACTTTCTTGCTTCCCCCTTGAAGTGGGAACAGTGCTTCTTTGGCTTATTCAGAGGCAAAATATGGAACATGAGTAAATGGTGCCTCACAGAAAAACAGCAGAGAGGAGCCTTTCTACAATGGAGCCCCTTCAGCTTCCCCATCTCATTTTCATGATTCTGTTTTTTAACATTTTCATGGTAAATATGCTTCTAAGTCACTGTATGTTATCCATTTCATCCTTTTGAAAGGCCTGATGTTAAATAACTTTTTCTGATGTATCATGATTTATTTAATAGGCCCTCTAACCTTTTTTTTTTTTTTTTCAGTTTTTATTTTAATCACCCGGTGTTCATCAGGACAAGTGTGCTCCCTAATCCCCATCACCTATTTCACCCATCCCCCCATCCACTTCCTTTCTGGTAACCATCAGTTTGTTCTCTATAGTTAATATTCTGTTTCTTGGCCTATCTCTTTCTCTCTCTCTTTTTTCCCCTTTGCTCATTTGTTTTGTTTCTTAAATTCCGTATATGTGGGAAATCATATGGTGTTTGTCTTTCTCTGACTGACCTATTTTCACTTAGCTTAATACTCTAGAGCTCAATCCATGTTGTTGCAAATGGCAAGAGTTCATTCTTTTTATGGCTGAGTAATATTCCATTGTATATATCACATCTATCAGTGGACACTTGGGCTACTTCCATATCTTAGCTATTGTAAATAATGCTGCTATAAATATAGGGATGCATATATCTCTTTGAATTAGTGGTTTTGTATTCTTTGGGTAAATAGCCACTAATGCAATTGCTGGATCATAGGGTAGTTCTATTTTTAACTTTTTGAGGAGCCTCCATACTGTTTTCCAGAGTGGCTGCACCAGTTTGCATTCCCACTAACAGTGTAAGAGGGTTCCTTTCTCTCCACATCCTTGCCAACACTTGTTGTTTGTTGTTGGTTTTAGGCATTCTGACAGGTGTGAGATGATCTCTCATTGCAGTTTTGATTTGCATTTCCCTGATGATGAGTGATGATGAGCATCTTTTCATGTGTCTGTTGGCCATCAGTACGTCTTCTTTAGAAAAATGTTTATTAATGTCTTCTGCCCATTTTTTATTTTATTTATTTATTTTTAAGATTTTATTTATGTATTTGTCAGAGAGAGAAAGATAGAGGGAGGGAGAGAGAGCGCACAGGCAAGGGGAGAAGCAGGCTCCCCACTGAGCAAGAGCCTGATGCAGGACTCAATCCCAGGACCCTGGGATCATGACCTGAGCCGAAGGCAGATACTTAACCGATTGAGCCACCCAGGTGTTCCAGTCCTCTGCCTATTTTTTAAATGGATTATTTATTTTTGGGGTGTTGAGTTTTATAAGTTCTTTATATATTTTAGATACTAACACTTTATCAGATATGTCATTTGCAAATATCTTCTCCCATTCCATCGGTTGCCTTTCGGTTTTTTTTATTTTTTTTTTCCTTCACTGTGCAGAAGCTTTTTATTTTGATATAGTCCCAATAGTTTATTTTTGCTTTTGTTTCCTTTGCCTCTGGAGACATAACTAGAAGAATGTTGCTATGACTGATGTCAGAGCAGTTACTGCCTGTGCTCTCTTCTAGGATTTTTGTGATTTCAGGTTTCACATTTGGATCTTTAATCCATGTAGAATTTATTTTTGTGTATGGTGTAAGAAAGTGGTCCAATTTCATTCTTTTGCATGGTGCTATGCAGATTTCCCAACACCATTTGTTGAAGAGACTGCCTTTTTCCCATTGGATATTCTTTCTTGCTTTGTCAAAGATTAATTGACCATGTAGTCATGGGTTCATTTCTGGGTGTTCTATTCTATTCTATTGATCTATGTGTCTTTTTGTGTGTGTGCCAATACCATACTATTTTGATTGTTATAGCTTTGTAATATAACTTGAAGTCTGGAATTGTAATGCCTCCAGCTTTGTCTTTCTTTTTCAAGGTTGCTTTGGCTATTTGGGGTCTTTTGTGGTTCCATACAAATTTTAGGATTGTTTGTTCTAATCCTGGGAAAAATGCTGTTAGTATTTTGATAGGGATTGCATTAAATGTGTAGATTGCTTTGAGTGCTATACATATTTTAATATTTGTTCTTCCAATCCATGAGCATGGAATGTCTTTTCATTTCTTTGTGTCATCTTTAATTTCTTTCATCAGTGTTTTATACTTTTCAGAGTACAAGTCTTTCACCTCTTCAGTTAGGTTTATTCCTAGGTATTTTATTTCTCATTTAACCTTTTTTTTTTTTGAAGTAGAACTTAAAATGGAATAAGGGAAAGCCTTTCTTAATAACACTTTTGGCAGGCATACAAAAGAATAATTCCCATTTGTACATTGAATCAGGAAATTAAGGAGTGAAGAAAAAGTGTTAAAGTAAAGAAACATAAGAAATATCATTAGGTAAGTGGACATAAAAGGTCAGGGGAAAGAAAAGCTAATAATAGCAATGTTCATGCAACTATGTCATAGGTATGTAAAAC